GAGAGAGAGAGAGAGAGAGAGAGAGAGAGAGAGAGAGAGAGATCGAAGCAAAACACACCAGGCCATTATCCTGATATATAAAAGGTGGCAGAAAATTGAGGGTCCAGAAAACTCTCAACTTGCTGGCAGTGTATATATGATGCAAGTGAAGAGGCCTTGGGTTGTAGCTGAAAACCCTGAGTCATTTAATTGTAACCTTTAGCGCTCTCTTGCCCTAGATTTGCAAGCATTAGGCAAATAGACACCGGGCAAGCTTCCCTCTTTCGTGTCATGTTCTTGCATGAACCTTTTGCACCACCTGCTGGCTAATTCCTGTTATTTCAGGAAAGAGAGCGGATGAGCGCTTTTGTTAGCTGCTCAGTCTTGTAGGAGAGAGTTGTTTAAACCTTCCCACTTTTAAGGAATCTGGACTTTTCCGCTGAGAAGTCTCTGAGCAACAGCCATGGAACCCCTGCCTTCTGCAGAGGATTCTCGGTTATGAGCTACAGATCGCTAGCAAAGAAGGTGTCTCCTTATGGCCATAGCCCAGTGGCCGCAGCCCATCCCAGACGCAGCATTTTAACGGAGCTGGGCCAGCTATTCTGCCACAGAGGGAGGCAAAGGAGAGAGTGGCTTGAAGCCCTGCAAGCAGCAACTGCGCGGAGGCATCTAGCCCTCCAGGCAGAGGCGGGAGCATGCAAGTTGCCAGCCTTCTGGATCGACTGCCTGAAGCTGGGGCTTCACCCTACTTCATGGGAAGGCCAGTGTAGGCCAAACATAGGGAACCTCTTTTCCACCGAGGGCCGCATCCCCTTCCAGGAAATTTGTTGACTCGGGAAGGGCACACACCAGCAATGGAGAGGACAAACAGTTTTGGTGGGCAGGGATGGAGCCAGAGTGGGCAGGGACACCCCCCTGTGTATTTCTGGGATACCCTTTCCTCTTTCTGACACCGCCTGCTTTTGCTCTCAGACTATATGACCCCCTTTCGATTTCTGCCACCTCGTTTTCTCTGTCCATCTGACACCTTCCTCCCCCTCTTTCTCTTTTGCCTTTCTCCCTGCACGGTGGCCTGAAGAGGGATGGACCAGTCTAATTGCTCACAAAAAGGGCTTTGAAATTAGCCCCAGCGCTGCAGGAAGTTCACCTAAGGGCCGCTGATGACACTTTGGGCTGCAGGTGTCCACTCTGGGAACAGTGAGGCAGTGGAGTGAAATTTCACCGTTTACCTCTTTTTTTCTCTCCTAGCCTATATCATCGTCTCTATCTTTTTCATGTTGCTCTCTATTGTGGGTTGCTATGGATCTGTGATCTTTGGAACACTTTCCTTCATGGCTGCTCCATCACCAAAGAGGGTAACATGGCCCACCTTAACCATTGGTTCGTGTTTCTTCTCTGGTAAGAGCACCTGTCCCCTGAGCTTCCCCACCTCCACTTTTGTCTCTAAAGCTTCCTTGAGGAACACCATTCATTCGTTCGTTCGTTCATGTATTTATTAGAGTGATACCCTGCTTTTTCTTACAACAAACTCAAAGCAGCTTACACTTGACTGGCTTTCAAAACACCTAAAGGAAAGGGGTGTTTGAGCATGCAGTTCTGTGCAACTTTGGGCACAAAAAGGGCCTATCACCTCCAACATGTCACAGTATTCATTTAGAAAATTGTAGAACTGGAATTCTTGCATTGAATAGAGGCTTGGTCTAGATCCGGGTGGGCAGCAGGTCGACCACCAGATGCTTTGAATGCCAGCTCCTAGAAGGCCCTCCCAGCACGGCCAGTTACCCGGAGTGAACGTCTAAAACAACTCCAGATCTACTTTCTGCACACCTACAAGATCCCCTCCAACTCTGTAATTCGATAGCACCTGTCCCACTGTCCTCCTGTGCTGGGCTGCTGGAATCTGGAAATGGGTTGCCATGTTCACTTCCCAAAATTCCTCCAAAGTACACTCACATAGGGAGGATTATGGGAAATGAACGTGGCAGCGCCAGTCTGGTGCTGATTCCATCGACACCCTCAGGTCAGCTCAGGTCCTGCCAAGGAACAGGCACGACCCTCAGACTTGCAACTGGGCTTCTTCCATTAGTGCTCAGCAGCTTCCCCATCCCTAGTTTTATCTGTGATCTTTTGGATGGATGGATGGATGGTTGACTTTTTCGCACTGGATGCTGGAGCAAAGGTGTTCTTCCACCCATGTATTCCCCAGTGCCCTCTGAGCTAGTCAGTATGGAAAATGGCACAAAGGAATAAGTGAGGGCTCATCAGACACAAGGGGTCATCTCTTGCATCCCTTTATGTTTGCAAGCACTGGATACCAAGCAAAAGTGGCTTTTTGAAATTTCTTTCCCACCTTCGTGTTAATTCAGCCACAATTCTCCAGGCAATTGCTTGCTAAATTGCTTAGTAATCTCATAAATCGAATAGCCCTCTCAGCAGCCAAAGGGACAACAACCAA